GACAATTATACAGATGCACTTCCATTGTATGTTGAGAGTCCTGCTGTGTTACAAGGGCCTGACCTCTGTAACTGCCTGATGTTGCATCTCTCCTACTGATTATGTTGATGGGGATCACCATCGCTCTTGCAACCTGACCCCAGCCACCCCTCAGTTGACTGGAGATGTATACCCATGTCCTTTCCATCACACACTTTACAGGGGGCAGGGATCCAGGTAACCCTACACCAGGGCTTTTCTGTCCACATAATGAGATGTCTTCAAAGTCAGTAGTAGGTAATGTTGTTCAATTTGGTGGACAATATGGGGCCTACTCTCCCCTATGGGTGGAATTTACACAGGTAATCAGATCTGTCCACCGGTGTGGATATACAGACCACGGGGAACAAATCCACATTCATAAATCACATATCACAGAACATGGCTTTGTAAATACAACAAGCAAATACCCACACGGACCCTGGTGGAGTGAGACTGGCTGAAGCATGGCAGGAGTCGTGGCAGGGATATAGGTGTCACATGGGGTCCACTAACACTTGGGAACAAACCTTGGTGTACTGGGTTTCCATGTAGAATGTAGTATGACATGTTCATGATGGTAGGCTGGGAATACTGCTCCTAAATGCAGTCACCTAAATATTTAGGGCTTGATTTCTTATACCGTCAGGTGCTTTTGTCCTCAGAATTTCTCACATAAAGGTAGACCCTACATGACACAAAGGTGAACAACCATTCATGACATGTAAATCAAGAGATTTCCCTTTCTCTCATTCAATATCTACCTTTCAGTATGTGTGTGTTGTCCCTTTAAAATATTCTGTGAACAAAATGTTACGTGTTAACCTGTTAAGAAATGTTTTCCTAAGAAGGGCTTGGCTGGCCAGTGGGAGGGACTGTTTTGTTTATTAACCGTGCACTGCTGAAACTGTTTTCCTTGAAGCAAACAATGTTTCTACCAGCTAAAATGAGCACGTAAACCGTTGTGTAATATATGTATTGGGAAAGCATCTTGCCAACCCCACCCACCTTCCACTCACCAACCCATGTTCTTACCTATGTACTCTCCACTCTCACACCCACACACCACTCACTCACTCACTCTCTCACACACCCACACACACACACACACACACACACACACACACACACACACACACACACACACACACCCATGCACATACCCACACACTGCTCACATACTCACACTCCACTCACAACCCCGCTCTCCACTCTCACACCCACACACCGCTCACATACTCACACTCCACTCACTACCCCATTTTCCACTCAAACACCCACACACCGCTCACACACCCACACACCACTCGCATACTCACACTCCACTCACACCACCACTCTCCACTCACACCACCACTTTCCACTCACACCCAACTCCCCACTCACACACCCACACACCACTCACACACCACACTCACACCCACACACCACTCTCACACCCACACACCACTCACACCCCACACCCCACTCACACCCACACACCACACACCACACACACACATGCTCCACTCAAACACCCGCTCTCCACTCTCATACCCACACACTACTCACATCTCCACTCCCCACTCACACCCCGCTCATAGCTCCTAACTCACGCCGACCACTCACGCCCCCACTCACACACATGCTTCACTCATCTTTCCCCCCAACACACACACACACACACACACACACACACACTCTCTCTCTCTCTCTCTCTCTCTCTCTATTTGACTGAACAAGGTGTCCATTATCTCTCCTGTGCTCAATTTGCAGGAAGTTATAATTGTCCTTGCATGTCGACTTCGACAAACATTTCTTGATCTTTGTGTGTGAGAGGGGATACAGCAGTAATGACTGGTAATTACAGTGATTGTGTGGTGGGAAAGTGGTTATTGATCTGCGGCCACAAAGGACAACAGTACAGCCGTGTATGTCCTTCTGCTGCCGCCAGTTGGTGCGGGCCGCATGTATCTCAGCCATATGTATTGTTTAGAACCTTTGTCGTGGAAGACAGTGGTAGGAACACCAACTGTGAAGAGTCGTTGTTATAGTTTGTCATGGAAGACAGTGGTAGGAACACCAACTGTGAAGAGTCGTTGTTATAGTTTGTCGTGGAAGACAGTGGTAGGAACACCAACTGTGAAGAGTCGTTGTTATAGTTTGTCATGGAAGACAGTGGTAGGAACACCAACTGTGAAGAGTCGTTGTTATAGTTTGTGATGGAAGACAGTGGTAGGAACACCAACTGTGAAGAGTCGTTGTTATAGTTTGTCATGGAAGACAGTGGTAGGAACACCAACTGTGAAGAGTCGTTGTTATAGTTTGTCATGGAAGACAGTGGTAGGAACACCAACTGTGAAGAGTCGTTGTTATAGTTTGTCATGGAAGACAGTGGTAGGAACACCAACTGTGAAGAGTCGTTGTTATAGTTTGTGATGGAAGACAGTGGTAGGAACACCAACTGTGAAGAGTCGTTGTTATAGTTTGTCATGGAAGACAGTGGTAGGAACACCAACTGTGAAGAGTCGTTGTTATAGTTTGTCATGGAAGACAGTGGTAGGAACACCAACTGTGAAGAGTCGCTGTTATAGTTTGTCATGGAAGACAGTGGTAGGAACACCAACTGTGAAGAGTCGCTATTTATAGTTTGTGATAGAAGACAGTGGTAGGAACACCAACTGTGAAGAGTCGCTAGTTTGTGATGGAAGACAGTGGTAGGAACACCAACTGTGAAGAGTCGTTGTTATAGTTTGTGATGGAAGACAGTGGTAGGAACACCAACTGTGAAGAGTCGTTGTTATAGTTTGTGATGGAAGACAGTGGTAGGAACACCAACTGTGAAGAGTCGTTGTTATAGTTTGTCATGGAAGACAGTGGTAGGAACACCATCTGTGAAGAGTCGTTGTTATAGTTTGTGATGGAAGACAGTGGTAGGAACACCAACTGTGAAGAGTCGCTTGTTATAGTTTGTGATGGAAGACAGTGGTAGGAACACCAACTGTGAAGAGTCGTTGTTATAGTTTGTGATGGAAGACAGTGGTAGGAACACCAACTGTGAAGAGTCGTTGTTATAGTTTGTGATGGAAGACAGTGGTAGGAACACCAACTGTGAAGAGTCGTTGTTATAGTTTGTGATGGAAGACAGTGGTAGGAACACCAACTGTGAAGAGTCGTTGTTATAGTTTGTGATGGAAGACAGTGGTAGGAACACCAACTGTGAAGAGTCGCTGTTATAGTTTGTGATGGAAGACAGTGGTAGGAACACCAACTGTGAAGAGTCGTTGTTATAGTTTGTGATGGAAGACAGTGGTAGGAACACCAACTGTGAAGAGTCGTTGTTATAGTTTGTGATGGAAGACAGTGGTAGGAACACCAACTGTGAAGAGTCGCTATAGTTATAGTTTGTGATGGAAGACAGTGGTAGGAACACCAACTGTGAAGAGTCGCTTGTTATAGTTTGTCATGGAAGACAGTGGTAGGAACACCAACTGTGAAGAGTCGTTGTTATAGTTTGTCATGGAAGACAGTGGTAGGAACACCAACTGTGAAGAGTCGTTGTTATAGTTTGTCATGGAAGACAGTGGTAGGAACACCAACTGTGAAGAGTCGTTGTTATAGTTTGTCATGGAAGACAGTGGTAGGAACACCAACTGTGAAGAGTCGTTATAGTTTGTGATGGAAGACAGTGGTAGGAACACCAACTGTGAAGAGTTGTTGTTATAGTTTGTGATAGAAGACAGTGGTAGGAACACCAACTGTGAAGAGTCGTTGTTATAGTTTGTGATGGAAGACAGTGGTAGGAACACCAACTGTGAAGAGTCGTTGTTATAGTTTGTGATGGAAGACAGTGGTAGGAACACCAACTGTGAAGAGTCGTTGTTATAGTTTGTAGTGGTAGGAACACCAACCGTGTCGCTGTTATAGTTTGTCATGGAAGACAGTGGTAGGAACACCAACTGTGAAGAGTCGTTATAGTTTGTCATGGAAGACAGTGGTAGGAACACCAACTGTGAAGAGTCGTTGTTATAGTTTGTCATGGAAGACAGTGGTAGGAACACCAACTGTGAAGAGTCATTGTTATAGTTTGTGATGGAAGACAGTGGTAGGAACACCAACTGTGAAGAGTCGTTATAGTTTGTCATGGAAGACAGTGGTAGGAACACCAACTGTGAAGAGTTGTTGTTATAGTTTGTCATGGAAGACAGTGGTAGGAACACCAACTGTGAAGAGTCGTTATAGATTGTGATGGAAGACAGTGGTAGGAACACCAACTGTGAAGAGTCTTTATAGTTTGTCATCACTTTTATCTACTGGTGGATGATTGTAAAAATATATCCTGTGCCTGATGACAAGATAGATGTTGGGTTCTTAATTACCTTTCTATACACTGGTTTAGGAGGACTGTGAACTAGGTAGTGTGACGTATGACAGGACATTGTAGGTGGAACAACATTGTGGTTGAACATCACAAGGACAAAATGAAAATAATGTTCCTGACAAAATTCAATTTTACACTATCATATATGATGTTTGAAAGTACAAAGATTGTACAGCTTATTGGACCACATTTTTTGTGGACATGTGAATGATATCAATATTTTTATGTAAAACCACACTTTTTAATATATATGAAAACCAATGAAAATTCTACTTTATTTTTGCTGTCTGCAATGCTACACAATATTAATGTCCAAATGTGAGTACACTTTATGAATTATGCATGGAAATGTGTCAAAATGAAGTCATGATCTGTACACATACAAGGTAGCTTTGCAGCAGAAACTTATTTTAGACTAAAATACAAACTTACATAGACAAATCTTACATGCAGTAACAAAGCCAGGAGGAGAAAACATAGCACCAGTGAATATATGACGGTTCCATTCCTTCAGGTGATAGGCATTCCATATTCCTGATTATACAGAGACTATCACACCAACCCTCAGGGTCTGTCAGGGTCAGCCTTATAGGGAATTGTAATCATCAGTTGTTGTTTTCAGGTGATTTGAAGAAGAGCAACTCCGATGACAGCAAACATAAACGTAGTAACCGTGGCCTTTCCCCAAGGGGAACAACCTCCACTAGTGTACCTAGAGACAGCGGTACTGGTGGAGCCAAACTACACCTGGACTATGACCAGATAGAAACACTGGAGGAATTCAAAACATTGGTAGGTTTTCTTTGCCATGTAGTAGATTGTTCCTCTGTGGGCCAGTGGTTACACGTAGCACTGTTCCTGCCATCAGCAATCCATCATTGCCTTCATGTATATTTCAGTAACTGTTATCAGAGTCACAGCAAAACATCTGAAGGTCATGTTACAGCAGCAGATACAATGGCCGAGTAACTCTGATGCTGGTGGTCAATGTCTTTTGTATATTGCAGACATGACAAGAAACTGATATGGTTACGTCAGCCTTGCCAGATCACACGGGGCACTTCTAACAAATGTGTTACCAATATCGTCAGAGAGGCGTACTTGTATGGCATTCTCTACTGTCAGTTTGAAAGGGGAATGCACTGATCTCACTCTATTTGTAAGGGGAAGTGCTTATGATAGTGTTTCTGCAAGAGCAAGTGAGCTTTTTAGTGTGTTCATCTCAAAATGACACTATATATGACAGATGGCAACTGTGTAACACCTACACCTACAACACACATACAATTTGTCAAAATCCTGTAGTAGTGTCAAAAGTTGAGCATAATTTACGGCATATTTGAGGATAGTCCACCATGATGACGCCAGTGAAGAACCACTGATCTACACAAGTCACCAACTATCCCAGTGTAGAACTACCGATATACACAAGTCAACAACTATCCCAAGAACTACCATATCACCAACTATCCCAGTGTAGAACTACCGATATACACAGTCACCAACTATCCCATTGTAGAACTATCGATATACAGAAGTCACCAACTATCCCAGTGTAGAACTACCAATATATACAGTCACCAACTATCCTAGTGTAGAACTACTGATATACAGAAGTCACCAACTATCCCAGTGTAGAATTACCGATATACACAAGTTACCAACTATCCTAGTGTAGAACTACTGATATACACAAGTCACCAACTATCCTAGTGTAGAACTACCGATATATACAAGTCACCAACTATCCCAGTGTAGAACTACCGATATACACAAGTCACCAACTATCCTAGTGTAGAACTACTGATATACACAAGTCACCAACTATCCCAGTGTAGAACCTCCGATATACACAAGTCACCAACTATCCCTGTGTAGAACTACTGATATACACAAGTCACTAACTATCCTAGTGTAAAACTACTGATATATACAGTCACCAACTATCCCATTGTAGAACTAATGATATACACAAGTCAACAACTATCCCAGTGTAGAACTACCGATATATACAAGTCACCAACTATCCCAGTGTAGAACTACCGATATACACAAGTCACCAACTATCCCAGTGTAGAACTACCGATATACACAAGTCAACAACTATCCCAGTGTAGAACTACCGATATACACAAGTCACCAACTATCCTAGTGTAGAACTACTGATATACACAAGTCACCAACTATCCCAGTGTAGAACTACCGATATACACAAGTCACCAACTATCCTAGTGTAGAACTACTGATATACACAAGTCAACAACTATCCCAGTGTAGAACTACCGATATACACAAGTCACCAACTATCCTAGTGTAGAACTACTGATATACACAAGTCACCAACTATCCCAGTGTAGAACTACCGATATACACAAGTCACCAACTATCCTAGTGTAGAACTACTGATATACACAAGTCACCAAGTATCCTAGTGTAAAACCACTGATATACACAAGTCACCAACTATCCTAGTGTAGAATCACTGATATTCTCAAGTAGGTAGGAAGCCATTGGGTTGCCTTCCCAAATCCAGGAGTGTGATGAAGATATCTTGGAGTTAATGGTGTATCTGTAAGTCAGGTGGGTCGGTGGACACTGGGATTACTCCCCAGACACCTTGGTGTGGAGGGGAGAGCAGTTCTGTCTGTACACAGCTAGAATCGATGAGAGACAAGTCCCACACAACACACCAACACTCTATCAATATTGTCCCAACAAATAACCTCACAACAGGATAACACTTCAATTTAGTTTGATTAAAGAAACATTGCCAATTTTGTGATGGTTGGGTGGGATCGTGTGTGTTTAATAGGCTTTGGCCACAATACTTCTGACTTTTTGAATTTTATGACAATTGGTGTCGTACAAGTGAAACTTGGTGCTGGGATGTATGGCTGGTAAACCTGATTGACTTGTTTGCAGCTCGCGGTCACAGAAGATTTTGAAGAGAAGAGGAAAATCAGGAATTCTATGCGTCAGCTTCGAAGACGGTTGGAATTAGGTAAGTTATTATAAGCCATTTGTTTACTTTCCTCTGTACTAGGCAGTGTAACAAAAGCATGTGAATGGCATATACTACAATGGTGGTTGATACCCAGTATGTGTAATGAATATAAAACTTTCTTTCTCATTTTCTAGATTGTTATTAAGTGATATTATTGCCATTGACCACCTAGAGCCACAGGTCAAAAGCTCCATGCAAATATGTTTAGTTTATTGTGTTTATAAATAATGGTCACTTCCCGTGATTTACAGCCACAATGAGGGTTTCTGTGGCGTCCATGTACACACTGTGTCCCCTCCACTGTATCTACCATCTCAGTGTAACAGGACTTTACCACCATAATCCGATATAACTGTGTACCTAGCTGGGATATTTTTAATGAGGGTCTTATACTTAACAAGTAAACACTGCTGAAAACCGAGTAATGGGCCAAATGCTTCAACAAACATTGTGTAGAATATTTTAGCATTATTCATTTTGAGGGTGAGGACTGTGTTGATGTGAGGGTGGCTGGATATATATGAAGTGGGGTTGTGAGGTATCTTACACCCAGATACAGGAGCCTGCAGTGTGTTCAGGTGGAGAAGCTGGTGTACTGCTGGGGAGCAGGGTAGGATCAGAGAGCTGTCAGTGGTTTTTGCTGTCTGTGCTTATGAACTTTTATTGTTGATTTACAGATTTAGAAAGTAAGTATGGGCCATTAATTAGCTAGTCCGAGTTGTGATAGCTTAGTCGTTTTGTTGAGAGAGTTTATCTAGATAGCCCTTATATCAAGTATAGCATATATATCAGGGGACACATGCTTTTAACTTTAGTAAATTATTAACATTTTGATATTTTTAATAAATGTGGTATTCTCTTTGAGATGCTGGGATCTATGTTGGCAGTGGTACAACGATGTACCCAGGTACAATTCAGTAACCACCAAACACTGAAGGAACATGGATGTACCTTGTGCAGAGTAGTGATATATTGTACCCTTGTTACAAATGTACACCTTAACAGCCTCAGTAGAACTAACAGGTGCTTTCATCATAGCTTCTTATGCATGGCTTCTTCAGCTTGATGAATGTAGCGTGGTGTGGTGGGAGGATGATGAGTTGTCTGTGGTGGGCTACCAGGTTGATGGGAGAAACTTTGGGGAAATCAGTGATGTGAAGGTAGTGGTATTGAGGGGTACAGATTGGTGTTAAGAGATAATAAGGGGCACAGGTCGAGGGTAATGATATAAAAAAATATAGACTAGTGGTTAGCAGTATTAATGGTTACAGGGTATTTAGGGGGTACTTAGGGGTACAGATGAAGGGTAGTGGTAGTAAGGCGTATATTTAGGAGGTAGTGCTATTAAGGTGGAAGGTAGTGGTATAAAGGGAAATGCTTGTCTTTGCCATAGTCAGTAACATGGTCATCAAGTAAGACAAACAGGGGAGTGATGGGTATTGTGTTGTATAGTATTTCTAGGACTTTTTGTTGGGCTAAAATATTTTGAGTATTTTAACTTCAGCTCCCAGATATCCTGGGTTTTTTTTAGTTAATAAATTTAAGAAGTGCAGTTGCACAACATTCATGCATGAAATCTACCTTGATGTTGATCCTCAGAGAAACATAACAAATGTTCATGAGAACAAGTTCAACCCACAAATAAAAGCCTCCACCTTGCCTGTGTGTTTAGAAAGAGCTCCTTACATAGTCAGTGCTTGTGAGCATTGTGCTAGAGGCTGCAGGCTGCAGTGACATAGGTATACTGAGATGTTTGAGATTCCCAGGACTCCTGTGTGATGAGGAACATGGAGGAAATCTGTCACCAAGAACTAGTGAAACAACAGAGCTGTTGTGAAGGAAATATAGCAGCAGGGACACTGTGACAACTGATTGTTGCTGCTTTTCAATGATTTCTTTGAGTGGCATTTAGAAGCTGGAATGATGAACAGGAATGATTCTTATGGATACTTGCTTAGAACAGTGTTAGCATCTACACCAAAACATTGCATCCATTGCAATAAAGAAGTTGTCTATCCATAACTAATTGGTCCTGTTTTTCAATGATTGTGTTTTAAAATATAAAATTGTTGAAGATTCCAAGTTGAAGGAGTTGAAGTATATTTGATGGCAGCCATGTTGACCTTGACTGTATTCCTGAAGGTGTGATTCTCAGTTCAGATGATAACAACTCGTTTGTCATGTTGTGACAGAGCAGAAGCATTATAATTGGAAGTGAACAATCTAATAATAATTATAGCTCCACTATTATAGACTCCACTGTAACTGCAGGACCATGGTGTTTTAGTTGTGGATGGTGTGTAGTGGGGAAGGCAGTATCTACCACCATCAGCCTCCTCCCCTGATGACTGTAGACAGACGTACCAGTCACAGACAGGTCCTTGTATAGGGTGTCTCACACCAGACCACCCACCTATGTATGTCTGTATGTCTGTATGTATAACTTGGGGCTGTCTGCTTGACACTGGGCTGCTGTGAGGTTCAAGGTCCTGTGATTCTGCTGACCAGGGGTCAGCCACAGCCTCCAGCCTCCTCATTACACACTTGACCACGTAGGGATTAGACAGGAGACACAGGATGTCCTCTGTACCGGAACTGTTATGTCAGCAGACTGCTTGTTTTCAAATGCTTTGGCAGAATACGCACTCATCATTTACCTTACCTCATTTGTCAATCTTTGTTTTAAAATAACACATATCTTTTTAATTCCTCTTTCATCAATGTCATATTTGATCGTTTGATCTATTAAGAAAAAGTCACCAAAAATATATATACCCTTTGCTTGATCAACTGAGTGTCTGATGCTGCATGTTAATGGTATGTTCAGTATGGCAATTTGTACTTCATGTTATTAATGGTAAATTTTGCCTGTGACCTGCATGAAGGAAGGGTATGGGGTTTATGACATCCTGTGCACTTTGTCCTGTATGTGACACTTGTTGTGTAGCTAAGCCTTCAGATGGTCACACAATACCTTCATTCACACAGACAGCGGGAACCAGACACTGACAATTACTGCTGGCCTATTCTCATATCCTTAAATCTACACTTGAAACAGTTACACCTTGAGAATGTGCCAGGAGGCACTGTGTACCTCAGCTGAAGCCTGGTAGTGGTAGTGAACCCGGGTACAGGTAGAGGGTAGTGGTATTGCCTTGTAGGGATGCAGGGTAGTGGTATTGACTGGTAGGGATGCAGGGTAGTGGTATTGCCTTGTAGGGATGCAGGGTAGTGGTATTGACTGGTAGGGATGCAGGGTAGTGGTATTGATGGGTACTGATGGAGGGTAGTGGTATTGATGGGTACTGATGGAGGGTAGTGGTATTGATGGGTACTGATGGAGGGTAGTGGTATTGACTGGTAGGGATGCAGGGTAGTGGTATTAATGGGTACTGATGGAGGGTAGTGGTATTGATGGGTACTGATGGAGGGTAGTGGTATTGATGGGTACTGATGGAGGGTAGTGGTATTGACTGGTAGGGATGCAGGTAGTGGTATTGATGGGTACTGATGGAGGGTAGTGGTATTGATGGGTACTGATGGAGGGTAGTGGTATTGATGGGTACTGATGGAGATTAGTGGTATTGACTGGTAGGGATGCAGGGTAGTGGTATTGACTGGTAGGGATGCAGGGTAGTGGTATTGATAGGTACTGATGGAGGGTAGTGGTATTGATGGGTACTGATGGAGGGTAGTGGTATTGATAGGTACTGATGGAGGGTAGTGGTATTGACTGGTAGGGATGCAGGGTAGGGGTATTGATAGGTACTGATGGAGGGTAAATGTATTGATAGGTACTGATGAAGGGTAGTTGTGTTGATATGTACTGATGGAGGGTAGTGGTATTGATAGGTACTGATGGAGGATAGTGGTATTGACTGGTAGGGATGCAGAGTAGTGGTATTGATGGGTACTGATGGAGGGTAGTGGTATTGATATGTACTGATGGAGGGTAGTGGTATTGATAGGTACTGATGGAAGGTAGTGGTATTGATAGGTACTGATGGAGGGTAGTGGTATTGAGTGGTAGGGATGCAGGGTAATGGTATTGATGGGTACTGATGGAGGGTAGTGATAGAGGGGTACAGGTAGAGGGTAATGGTATTGATCGGTACAGGTAGAGGGTAGTGGTATTGATAGGTACTGATGGAGGGTAGTGATAGAGGGGTACAGGTAGAGGGTAGTGGTATTGAGGGAAACAGGTGGGCGCTAGTGGTATTGATGGGTACAGGTGTGTGAGGGGGGAGGGGGGATGGAGGGGTACAGGTGTTGGGGTATTGTGAGGTACAGATGGAGTTAAGCTGTATTGTAGGACAGGTGGTTGATCTCCCCCCAGCCTGTCCAGGACCTCACTTCAGATCTCTTACACCTGAGAATTGTTTTCATTCTGTGATTGTGACCTGAAGGTGGGAGGTAGGCCAGCAATAAAAGTGGTCCTCCATTCATTCTGAAGTTTTAGTTTGTTTGATACAGGCGGCAGAGTTATGCCTGTTTTCAAGTTCCCTCCTTAAATGTGTATGATGTATGTGTGGCATGTAATGTGTCTGCGTAAAGGGGTTGTATGCACACATACAGTTTATGATTTTTGCACAGTATATGGAGGTTGTCAGCTGATGTACCGTAGAGGTACTTGCAGGACACTATTATAGTAGCCAAGATGACTCAACATGGAATATGTTCGCCACTGTATACAAGGTGCCTCATCTGCACCTACCAGGCTGCCACCATGCTGTTCCAAAACGTATTTTATATCTTCACATACCCAGGGGGCATATTTTATAACTTTCACAAAGTCCATTTGTGTTGTAAAGTGAAAAATGGAAATACCTAAGATTACTTTATTTCCTAAACTTAGAGCATGTAAGATTTTTTCATTTTTTTCGTATGTTTTGTTTTGTGTTTGATAATGATAAGTGGGGATCCTATGGATGACCCTTGATAAGAAAAATGATTCCTCAGTGCTGTAGAATTTAATTTGAAAACTATGACACTAGGTGGAGATGTAAGATTGTTTGTTGTGTCAGTGCACTGTTCCTACTTGACAACAGTGGACAGAGAACACTCCTTTTCCACCAATCGTCACAATAAGGGGGAAAAAGTATCCATCAGTGAGGTGCGTCGTGGCTACACCTGACCTACATCCAGCCTTCATCACATGTACAGGAAGAGAGGCAGGCAGGTATAGCTCACCTCAACCCAGTCTCCACACAGTCACCCACCACCCGGGCTTCTGTACGAAACACTCTCACTACCCGCGAATTGTTTCAGTTCTCTGACGTGTAAGTTCTAATCTTTGTTTGTTTTTCTGTAAGTTTTTTAAGATTGCATTATATACATCTGGAGATGTTTTATAAGTGACTTAGAATGTACCTATTTTCCAGAGAGAAATATCGACAATGGTATATATTTTGATGAACAGTAAGCTGTCATATTTCTTAATCCATGTTCATTATGTTGTAAATTATTAAGGTATGTTGAAAATATTCTTACAGAAATGGTTTCTTTAAATATTTTATAATGGTTCAAATTGGTTAAGTGGTTAACATATGGTTCTTGGACATTTATTCACTGTCAGTCATGTGTGTGAGATAAACAACAATAACCTTCTGTTGATTGTGAGATTGACAATCAGTGGCCTTCTATTGTGTGTCAGATGGACAATCAATGGCCTTCTATTGTTGCAGTT